AACCCCCCTAGTGAAAGACAGGATGCCTCTGACCCACAACTTTCCCCTCACTTCCCAGAGGGAAGAGGAGATAGCTGTTCTAGCAGAAAACTTTTCTAAGAAGTGAGTTATCATTGCAAAGACCTGATGATGCCTTTGAAGAATCAGCCCATGAAAGCACAGAAGAGGAGGAGCGGACTGAAGAAGCTCCTGTTCTCTGAAGCTCTGCTGGGCCATCTGAACTGGTGCCAGAGTCAGGTATAGAGGGAGAGACAGTAGAAGATTCCAAAACTGGAATGCAGTCTGTCAAACTAGATTCTGAGCTACTTGGACTGACACTACATTACAAGTTTTCAATGCTACTACCTATCAATGCCCTACAAATTTATCTTGAAAAAAAAATTACTTCCTCTTTTACTTCCCCCACCCTCAATCCTCAGTATCTCACATAATGTCTGAAGAACTGACTCTTCTGTGCCATCTGCAGCTAATTCTTCGCAGATTATGACTGCAAGAAAGCATAGATGCAGCTTATTAGACTCCTGGTTGTTACCGTGCTCAGCAGACAGCAGCATCTCCTCATTTTCTACCCTGTGGCCATATTTTTCACAGTCTACTCCAGCAGTCCAAGCTGTCATCATTAGCAACCTCCTAAATAGAAACAAGCTTTCCAAGCTCAAGAACACAGGATTTCCTGAACCATATCAGAGCAGGCACTCATCAAGACAATAACCAAAAGCATTTTAAACAACAATAACAAAAAAACCCACCCCAACACAGGAATCTATTATTATTATTATTATTATTATTACTACTTAGGTATGCAATAGCTTTTCCAGACAGTTTCTTTCTAGCCCCAAATATGTGCATTCCCTCACAGTAGGACAGTTCATGTTCTCTATACAAATCTTCTCTACGAAAAGTCACTGATGGTCCATGTAGAGAAACAGGCACTTCAAGCCTGGTAATTGAGTTGGGGAGACCTCTAAGGTATAAATATGCTTTATGATACTCTACTGAAGTAACAACTCTTTGAACATTTGCAGCATATCTACACGAAAATTAGACAGAAGTTAGCTACCAAATTCTATGACAAAACCAATCCTTTCAAATTTATCTAATCCTACTGTTTTGCAGGAAACCAAGGAACGGGGGTGACAACTGCCTTTCAGTACCTGTCTTACTGAGACTGCACTTGAGCCTCGCCATACTTTCTTGCAAATAAACATCAGCACCCCTACAGAGGTTACATACATTTGAGCAGAGGTTAAAAAAACCTCATTACAGCCTTCCTCAGAATAGGGTAGAGCAAGACTCAAGGAGACAAAATAAAGAACATGGCTTTAGGCCCTGTCAGTAACATCTAAACAATGTGACATTAGAGCCTATGCAGCCTGATTTCAGGAAGGGAGGACAGAAAAAGTTGTTTAAGTGAACTGGGGTGCAAACAGAATGCAATAGGTAGGCAAAGAAAGCAAGAAAAGGAGACAGAGAAAGGTACAGGTAGAACGAAATATGAGAAACCCAGGAAGGCAGGCAGACACAAGCTAACAGGGCAAGAAAGATCCTACATGAAGCTAACGAGAAAACTTTGGGTTAGCAGAGTAAGCAAGATAGAACTGACACCAAGCCCAGGAGGGAAGACCACATACAGCCTGAAAAGCTTAAGACAAACCAGATAAAGAAGGAAGATGACTGCAATTGCTCTTTGAAAGGGAAGGTGTGAGCACAAAAAGACACAACGAAATGAAATACATGCCAAACTCCAACCCCTTAGTGTGTTCTCATCCGGAAATGGGACTCCAGATTTCAGCTTACTGTTTGTTATTTGTCAGATTGTACTCACAGAACAGATTCCTTATCTGCAGGCTTTCAGTGAGCAGTGCAGGTTGATAGAGGTAATGCTTTGCATTAGGTCCAGCATCTCTTGTGACTGGACATATGTATATTTAGTATGGTTGGACAGACTAACTGCACCTTTCCTTCTTTCAAGGAAATGACAAAAAATTCCAACAAAAGAAAGGGTGCTGTAGTAATATTCTAGGTTCCAGTTTATCACATATTCTGTAACATTACAAATCTACTTCAGCTTTGCTTTTAACAACAATATTGCCATAAAAAAAAATAAATTCCCTTCATAGGTAGGACCTTCCTCCTTCATGATTATCTTCATAAGTAGAAGGAAAGCTACCTAGCTACTTTACCCACTTTTCCCCTCAGCAGGATGGCGTTAAGTACTTCCCCTTCCCTCAGTTGTGTTATGGAAGTTCATCAACACGTGAAAGATATATAAACATATAATGAATATCAAAAATCTTGCAGAGAGATATGTAACTAAATAACAAAATATTTTCGATTGTGTTATATCCTCAAAGTAGAAAACTCATGGAACTAGCTGCTTAGATGGCACTTTTCCTCTTACAGTTTTCTTCAAAAACTGATTATGTTGTATCCATCATTCAGGTGCTCAACTTATGTCTTTTTAATCACACTCTGTATTTAATTATCCATGCAAAGTGTGGTGAGGAGAGGGAAGTTAGATTATCCTCCCTTGGTCCCACTTTCCATGGCAACAGATTCTATTAGAGTATTTGAAGATTTAAATTATTAGTTTCAAATCTTCCTGCTATTATCTTTAACAGACAAGCCAAAAGAGTGAAGTATACATCAGTACTTTGAATTTCAGGAAAATCTTAATTTGACATATTTAACAGATCTTATGAATCATCCCTTTTTACATGACACTACAGTTTAAGATTTAGCTTGCCTTTCAAGAAACTGAAAGATTTCTTTATTTTAACATGCTCAGAGAGTCCTCTGGTTTGCATACTACCTAAGCCATGTTTCAGGTGGAGTTTCCAAATGGATGAATTCCACTTTCAGACTATTAAACTTTGAAAGCCTGAAATATTCAAACAGCAAATACTGGCTCAGACACACAAAAGTGTCTATTCCATTTTACCTAAGAGACTTGGCTTGCTTAGCAAACAGGGACGTGGCAAGCACTAGTGGAAAAAAGTTATTCTTCTTTTCCATTAGCTTAGGTACAGGATGAAGCATTACTTTGGTTTTAATTATCAAAACAAGAACTAATGCATTTAAAGAAACAACGTCTATTAGCAGTCAGCATTCAATTACCAATCCTAGTTGGAGAAAGAGGGAGTAAGCACTTACAGTGTAAGACTCAGTAGGCAGATTTGACAGACTACATCTGTCAAATGCAGAAATCAAAGTTACATTATGACTTCTGCCCATCTATAGGAAATACAACAGAAGAAATACAACAACAACATCCCTCAGTGGCACTGTTTGGTAATCTAAAGATGAAAATGCAAATCCACACTCTTATGAGTAAAAGCTGGACTGTTATAACACTGAAGTTGTAACTGCCAGACTTCTGGTATTTAAGGATACCATTGTTGTTTCAACACTTGCATCCTTCCAAATTGTGAAAGATTAAAAAGTCAACAGGTCAATACTCCTACTGGTGCCCTATAGTCTGAGGCTTTGGAAGAACACCCTTCCCACTCCCCAGGGAAATAAAACCAAGAAAACAAATTTTAAAAAAGTTAAAAAATTACACCTCTGAAAAAATAACTGAACCACTGCTCTTATACCAAACAGTTCACAGGTAGAATATTGTTACCTCATGGCTAAGTATGAAATGCTGTTCTTTTTAGAATGGAAATTTAGCTGAAACAAGAGATTGCAAGTGGCACAAAGAATCAACCTGCTTTAGCTATGCCATTCCACAAATTACGTCCATTTCTTCCGAGGCTGCAAAGTACAGAAAGGCAACCCACAGCAGATTTTCATAGCGAGTTAAACACATGATGAATTGTCATTCCAATGGAGTCCTGCTGAACTACTACAGACTTAGTCACACATTCACAAGTTAAAAAAGAACTGGTGAGTAAGATTACTTAGGAACCCATGCTACTGCCCACGACTACAGCAACAAAAGACGAAAGGTTCGGCCTCTGCTCTTCCTAGAGCTAAAAAAGAAACCACAAAAAGCCCAGACAAAGCACTTGTATGCCTTTAGTGAGTAACATCTTGACCAATGATCATGTTTCAGCAGTTTCTCACAATATCTCCTTGTTTAAAGTCTGTAGCTCAAAACCAATTTTCTTATCACAAAAGAAATACAACAGATGACATCATATTACACTTCCTTAACTCAAAGAGAGTAACCTTAAATATAGCCAGTAACCGTATAAATACATTCACTTCTGCAATATGACTTTAAGCATTAAAGTTTAAAGTAGACTAATAACGCATGTCCATTACAGCATCACAGAAAGGGTCCAAGATCACTTTTGATAACTGCTCAAAACAATCCTAGAAATACACCACAAAAATTTAATTCCAGCCAGATATATTTGAGCCAACTCATTTCCAATTCAGTCATAAGCAACAAAAAGAAAAAACAAAACAAACATGGATGTATGCGGAAGCATAAACATAAAACATATCAGGCCTAATGCAAATCTAATCAAAGGAACATATAAACTGTAAAATATGAGCATTAAGGTAATGTTATTTTATGTAAACTTAAAGAAAACAGCAATTTATGCATTCATATAATAAAAGATACAAGTATAATCAATAACTACTACTTTTTCTAGGCCTTTACTACTAAAATTCACTGCATTTATTCATGGTTCAGTCATATCAATACATCTAAAGTGAGTATTTCACACTGTTTTACAGCTAACAATATGCAAAGGCAGCTACCACGAACTACAAACAGAACCATTTAGTCTTAAAATCTGCAAACATCATAGCACACAAATCACCAAGTATTAGTTTCTTCCATTCTTAAACTTAAGCATTTGGAATGCCAAGCTTACCGAAGTACTATCTTCCTCTACAACATACACCCCTTTTCTGAAAAGTACAAGACCATGTGTATCTGAAACTAAACAAGTCATCCTAAAACATACTAAACTACATTCTAGTTTTTCATCAACTGCACAGAAAAAATTACTAATTCTGAATTACTGAAGACGAGTGCTTACCTTCAATCCTTTTTAAGGCGGACAGACAAGTATCCCGGCTTGGAAATTCAAATGGATTATTGCAGGTCCGAATGGTGTCACATTCACATTTCCCATTGATTATGTTACAACCTGTTATAAGGTTTTCATTGCATGGTTCAAATCCAAGAAGCTGATCGTCATCCCAGTTTTCATCTAAAATAAACAAACAAACTTGCTCACTATTAGATTTCAGCTGTAGTACATAAATTCAGCTGCTTTGGAGTTGGATGTGATTCACATCAAGTTCAACATAACATTAGACAGAGGACAACAGATTAAAAAAATCATGGATTAATATGAGCAGTGGGATTTGCCAAATACCATGTTTCACAGCTATTCTATTGCCCATTTTGCTACAGGAACTGGCATTGTTTACCTTCCATCTGTACGAAAAACTATGTCATCTCAGAGAAATGCATAGCTGTAGTACAAATGAGTGCTATTCTAACAGAAATAACTTTTGCAGGCAGTTGAAGTTATATTTATAATGGAAGTGAGAACATTGGACAGAATATGCAGCTGTTATAGAAGTCAAAATTGAGTCAGAAAGAGAGTATTTTAAAAGAGGATTAAAAAATGCATCACATAGAATCCACTCCACGGAGATAACTTTTTATTACAAAAATGCTGCAAGATGCCAGACCTCTGATTCCATTATATGACCAAAATTGAGTTTTCCAGCAGTCCTGGATTATCATACATATTCTAGGAGAACTGATCAAGCACACTGCATTCCTTGCTATCAAGGGGCTGGGGATAGTTGGGCCAGAATGAGTCCCTCTGCTCAAACAACTGTGCCTTTTGAATCCGTCCCATCAAATATATGTAACTGGTTTTCCCACTACAAAAATGCCCATTTTCCTTTTAGGAGGCTCCAGAAAGAGACATAAATCCAATCAATCCAGATTTTCAGTAAGATTACCAGTTCTACAAAATCTCAGTTTTCTTCGGTCCAGTTCACATAACAGCAACATCCCACCAACACAGAAGTTCAAGCAAGACAGAATCATAAAACAGCCTGGATTGTAAGTGACCTTAAAGATCACCTAGCTCCACTGCCCCTGCCATGGGCAGGGACACCTTCCACTATACCTAGGCTCAAAGTCCCTTCCAACAGACCTTGAACACTTCCAGGGATGGGGCATCCACAACTTTTCTGGACCATCTGTTCTAGTGCCTTGCCTCCCTCACAATAAATAATTTCTTCTTAATATCTAATCTAAGCCTACTCTCATTTTAAAGCCATTCCCTCTTGTCCTATCAGATGCTTTTAATGCAAGATTGAAAAAACTAAACTAGGCATTAGGTATTCTTTGCTACAAAGCACCAGATAATTTTCCAAGTTTGTCTGTCTATAAAACAAGTACTACAAAACAGTCACACAAAATCCACTGACTTCTAGTAATGGTAAAAAGAACAAATACATATTTTCAATCTTTACATCCTTATATTCAACAGCAGCACTCGCATTGTGTGTTCTAAATAGTTTACCCCAATTTTATATACTAGCAACAAGCAAGATTCCAATACAGATCCTGCCAAGATACATTTCGAAAAAGTTAAACCATCTTCCAGTTATAAAGGGTAGATTTTTTTTGCTGTTGTTGGGGTTATCAAAAGCTGTCCTCTGGTATGAGAGGCCACAGCCGAATACAAACTGTTTATCATTCAGTAGTCTCATGCTCAAACATAGTCTGAAAATCTATAGGAAATAACAGTATATACACACACATATGCTGAGGTTGGCATGTAAGTACAGTTCACTCAGAAACATGAAGAATATCTGCTAACTTGCAGTTTTTCCTGTTTTGGGGAAAATAAAAAAACACCACCTGGAAAGAGCTGTTTACCAGTTCAGTACTGTACATGATCTATAGGAAGCATCAAAGAAGATTCTCACAGGTATATTTCTCCCTGTACAACCAACTGCGTGCTTTCTATCATGAGCTGGTAAAGTATCCTGCTCAAATAAAGAACTGACAAACAACAAAGTCAATTATAGACATGAAGATGGGAATCTTCATGGGAACTTCATGGCTCTTCTACTCCATAAAAATAGCAAAGGAAGAGTAGTCATTAATCCCAGGAAGTAATTTCTTTTTTTTAGCTAATGTTAACCTATCATCCCATACAGCAACTGTATCAATGAAAGTCAAAGGAAGTGCAGAAGTTCCTGAAGAGAAACTATTAAAATTCTTTCAAAAGAAGATGCCCCTTTAGTAATGCTTAGGACACTTTCATCATGAGGAGGCCATGAATACAGAGGAAAAAAAAAAAAAAGTCCTGAGAATTTGGAGAACAATAATACATCCTGTTTTTGAGAAGCCGGAATACAGCCTGGACAACTTGTATTTTAGAAATCACAGCAGTAATCCATGTAACAACAAGAACAAAAGCTACACCTACAGTCCAAGACTCACTGTTTCAAAGTCTGTAACCTCAGGCATCACAGCTTCATCCAGATCAGTCTAACAAAATGCTTTGGGTTGCTCCCTGTTTCTGAAACAGACTATACTTCTAACATCTTCTGAATCTTGAAACAAGGTATTTTTCATTACTTGGTGTGAATACAAAAGTTACATTCAGACAAGAAGAATGCAAATCCAGTTTTAGCCTGCACATCTTCTACCAGCCTGCTTTTCACACAAGTTCATTTAGAAACAAGATTTCCATCAAGGAAGGAACAAACACATAACAGGAGCTTATTTTAGTTTAGTAAATCAATGCAAAGTCTAGAATGATTTTTGATGCAGACTTAAGACTTTTTTTCCTAGTTGATTTTCTCCTTCTATGAACAGAATTTCAAGGTCCTATTAAATGAATAATTGTTTACCACTTAGAGAAATCTTCAGACATCACATCAATATAGGCAGAACAAAATTCCTTGGAATGGGAAGTACAACCAGATAAAAGCATTCACATGAGGGATGTACCTCAATTGTCTCACTTCAATTCAAAGCTTTGGTTACTTGATGCAAAGGCATCTAGTGCTGTCCTTGATGCAGATAAATGGTAGTCCAGTAGAGCAAGCTTGCTCCTTTAGAGGTCAGCAATACTTGAACTGACAATGGAATCATGTTTTGAACAAAATATATAACCTAGCCTCTATCATTCCCCAAAGTCACCACGTCCTGTGGACTATTCCAGAAAACAAACTTTTACACACCAGTAATTTGGGACCTGGGACAGTTCATGAACTATTCCAAGCTATAGCACAAACATTTTCCTGCATGCTCTGTTTCACCTTCTCTACAGCTTCCTTTTCAGGATACTGGTCTTTCGTGCCTACATCTCAGAAATCTGAATTATATGAAGGAATAAACTGAGATATGATAAATTGTCAAAGCTTTACTTCTCTGCAGGCAGGGCTGACAAAACCCAAATGTAAGAATCTGAGTCTGTTAAGCCTTGGTATGCACATCTTATCTCCTAGCTGACTTCTAGTACACCCAAAAATACAAAAATCAAGTAGGTGTTTAACATTCTTGAGTGTTTAGAAGCAATCCAGCTGAAAAGAAGCCCAAGTATACTGCTAGTTTTCATCCAAACTGATCTTTGTTTAGCTGTGATTTTCACCACTTCACTGTGCCAGCATGATCAGGTAGGGACAAAAAAGGGAAGGGCCATATTTTTAGCAGCCCTGAGTTGTCAGTGGACTCTTGTTATACAGTCAGTCACCTTTTGCACACACGCCTTAAAGCAGTTCAGATGCTCCTAGCAGGCTGGTAACTACAGTTTCAAAGTAATTTCTCTTTCAAATAATTTCTATCTACATGCAGATCCCCACTCTTTCCAACTTAATCAGGCATGTTGCCTTTTCAGATAATAACACAGTTCTGCATTTACTCAGATCAAAGTTAAGTTCTGGACATAATACCTTTTTAACTTCTAAGTGTGCTTTCATACCATAAGGAAGCCATGGGAGGAGAGATTTCTCATTGATTCCAAACTTTTGTCATTTTCTTCTATCATTCATATAATCACTTGCTTTCTGCAAAGCAAACATTTTAGCTTGCTAAAAATTCACATACTGCTCTGGGTTGCTGAACTCCCAAGTCCTGTCATAGCACGCATCTAAAAGTAGGGAAGAGGATTAAGGTATTAACAAGTTGAACAAGAGGTCCTTAAACAAGTCCAGTCTAGGAAACAGTCAGAGAAATATATCTCCTGGCAAGCAGCATTCCATCACTTCTTTCATACTAAATCTTACATACCAGCACTCACAACACAGCACTATGCAAGGCATGATGCTCAAGATTGAAGCATTTATCTTCTTCACCCGAAGAGCAGCTTGTGCTTTCAAAAGAGTGTGCATCTGAGAAACTAATTTTAAGCCTTATTTTTAAGGCACACCGTACCTCACTATAGTTACATTTACTGTCTCCATATGCAAAGGATCATCTCAAAACAGGTGCAAGCTAAAAGCACAAGAAGAGATCTTTTCAGAGACTCCTTCTCCATTGCTTAAACTTTTGCTTTCCCTTCTTTCAAGTTCTCAATTCCTTCTGCCCAGCAAAGAAACTTCTCCTTTGTATCCTGTCCCAACCTTTCTCTTTCTTTCGGGGTATTTAAGGAATATCAACTATTGTTTGGAAAATGCTATACTGTTCTCCTTCACTGTTTATAAAAGATAATGCATCACCTCAAACCAGCAAACAACACACTGAAGCGGTCACTAAAATATCACTGCTGAAAAGTACTGGAGTGAATTGAGTGAACTCCCATAATTTACATTTAACTGCAGCATGTTACTCAGCTATTTCCTAGCATGACTGGTAGGTCTCAGGATGCTGAAAGAGCAAAGAGACATTGCTGGTCTGAAAGTGAAATAGTCCAAGTCACATCTTACAGACTCTTGCATCCTTTTAGATCCTGCATTTGAAGGAGGAGAAAGAAGGGTTTCACAGTGACAGAGAAGCAATCCTTACTGAGACTGGTACTGCCCTCTGGAAACTGGTGGAGGAAGAACCTTTCAGAAGCTCCTCCATCAAACCAGACCCAAGGTCTGAGCCCCAGCACTCCAGCACACTGGTCTACACAACAGCATTTTCAAATCAGTGGTATTCATTAAGATGGTATGAGACTCTGAAAAGATCCTAGAGACTTGCTAAAATAAAAAAAGGAAATACTTCTTGCCAGTAGGCTTTGGCTTCTCTTTGAACAGGAAAAAAGAATGATGGAAAGGAAATGCATGTTTTGGAGGAGCTGAACAATAGAAATGACTAATCACCACTAAAGAATGCTTGAAACCCAGCCCCAGACCTTGAAAAGCAGCAGAAGGGAAGACTAGCCTTGAAGTGAGTTTGAGCTCATATACTGGCTTCAAGCCTTTCCCCTCTCACAACTTATTCCTTCTATGAAGTCAGGAACCAAGGACTACAGC